ATATTTTTGTTTTAAATGTATTTTTTCGATTTTTTGTAATGGGAAATTATATTCTCTAGGAATGTAAACTCTTGTCAATTTAATCATCACCTCGCCAACTATCTTATTACAAAAATATGTCTACATAATGATGAAATTAGTTTTTTCTTTCTTATTTCCTTAACCCGGAACAAACATAAAACAGATTCTGAGAAATCATTTAATTTTTCGGTCCTTCATGAGATTCCTATATAATTTTAATTCTTTGGGTCATTATTCTATGTACATTGGAATGTAGCCTTTTATCAATTTAAGTATCGCCTTGCCCACCATCGAGTAAGAAAAATATGACTTAATATTTATTAAATTATTGTCTTCTTTCTTATTTCCTAAAACTGGAAAACATAATTCTGAGGAGATTCTAAGATAATTATATTTCTGTGGGCCATAATTCTATGTACTTTGATTGGTATTCGGATTATGGTAATATCCTTTAGAATTTGTAACGTGATCAACTAAGTACAACTTTATTTGCCTTCTCGAGAATATATTCAGGTGTTTTTGGTATATTCTATATATCTACCAAATTTCGTGTTAGAAAACCATGTCTTTGAAAAAAAATTGTAAATCTCTTTCGATTTACCAACCTTAAATAGATTTTACAGAAATATAATAATATTCACCGTAGGATTAGAAATGTCGGGATAAATTATTTTCGATTTAAAAAATTATTCTCATGACAGTTTATTTTTAGAGGCGTTCTTCTAAAACTTGGTTGGTAACACGGATCTTAACAATACTTCACGTAGTTGGTAACGTGATTTATAAATACAATAAATATAAGTATAAACCTAATTTAATAAATCTACTTTGTTGAGGTCTTGTTAATTTTTTGGTTGGGACTCATATTGGCCTAGAGTATATTAGAAATATATTCATTTTTGAATTTTATTGAGAATATGGTTGGCAACACAGTTTTATTGTAATGTTATTAGGTTCTGAATTACTTTAGCCTTGGTTGGTTTTCATCAGGCAGTTGAAGAGAATGTGAATTTTTTATCTCTCTCACCAAAGAACATAAAATCCCTACGAGAAACATTTTCCGAACTTATTTCAATGGTCGCCCATTTCCCTCATCCATTTTTTTCTCGTTTGACAATATTCTTCACTTCCTACCTTCATTACCTAACCATTAGTTCCATCTACTAATACCATATTATTCCTATAGCCATTGATGTCGAAACCAAAGGTTTAATCTTAAACTCTCAAGCCAAGAAGGCCGTTAGGAACTTCGTGAATCAAATGCCCTGCGGTTGGCCTGAATATGGTATTCCTCCATTGGCTCCCTATACCAATCCCGATTTGGAAATCCATGTTGTTCAATCCTTTGTTGAGTAAGTCAAAACTTTAAAGGGATTTCTTTAATCACTACTAACATTTTTTTCTTCTTCCTCTCTCTCCCTCTCTCTCCCTCTCTCTCGTCTATAGTTCCATTGTTCAAGCCCTAAAATTCCGTTTCGATGGTTTGGATGATATGGAAATCAAAAAATTGAAGGTCTCCTACACTTTCAACAAGAAAGTCAAGTTCCATTTCAATTTCAAGGAATTGAAGGCTAAGGCTTCCGTCCTCAACACCGACACCTTTGTTGATTTGATGAGAGAATTGGGTATCTCGGTGCGTTATGAAGGTTCCGGTCCCATGGAATTCGCTTTGGAAAATCTATCGCTTCAGGGTCAATTCAAATATAAGATGCCCTTCATTTTCGGTTCGATTAAAATTTACAAATTCGAATGTACTGTGACCTTGGGTGGTGTCCGCTCCAACATTGGTGGCATTTTGGGTAATGGCCGTATCAATGAATTTGTCAATGATCAAATCGATTATTTGGTTCCCGCAATTATTAATGGTAACCAGCGCAAGATTAGTGATACCATTGAACAGGTTATTGTACCACGTGTCAATCAAATGATGAAGGGTAAGAAAATCTGGAGCATGCTCGGTATGTTGTCCAACAGCAAGAGGAAGTGTAATCCAACTCCAGCTCCATTCTTGGAAGAGAATTATTAAAAGGTCAATAGACGCAACAAATGTTAAAACATGGATTTTAATAAAGATGTGATATAACGAAAAAAAACTTTGCTGAATTGTGTTAATAAATTTAGTTATTGGGTATTTTTATTGAAAAAATATTTTTATAGGGCGAGTTTTTAAAAATACTTGACTGAATTGAGTACTTTTATATAATTAAATTTGCAGAACTTATTTATAGCTTTTTTATAAAATACTTAGCTGAATTGATTTTTTCCAAATTCCTGCTATTCCTAAATTTAAATTTCATATTAATGAGATGGCTTAATCGATATTTTGCATAGAAATATGTAGCTGAATTAATATTTTCTAAAGAAAATGTTAGCTGAATTAAAATATATTTAAAGAAATTCGATACTTTTGATAGCAAATGTTAGCTGAATTTGTTTAACTCACAGAAATGTTAGCTAAAAATGAAAAAATTAATTTTCCATAAAAAAAGTTTGCTGAACTCAGTAATTTCAAAGCTGAATTGGTTATTTCCACAGCAAAACCTTGTTGTTGAATACTTTTTCCTAGAGAATCATTTGCTAAATTTAATTTTGTAAATACTTTCGTTTGCTGAATACAAATGTTCCACACAAATTTTGCTAAATTTGATATTTTTCTTTGGCGAATATTTGCTGAATTGTCTTTTCTATATATAAGGAATTCTAAACTTTAATTTTTCATAAAAAACATTTTGCTGAATTGATTTTTATTAATGATGGTTTGCTGAATTGACAGAAACTTTTGGTTAAATCGCTGAATTGTCGTTATATATGATTAAAGTGTGCTGAATTCACTTTTTTCGAATTATATTTTAGGTTATATTGCTGAATTGTCTTTTTGAAGTGGGTTATTTTAGAAAAATTTAGCTGAATTAACATTTTTCTCAAAAGAATGCCTGCTGAATTGTGTGTATATGTGGAAAAATATCAATTCGTTCTACCAAATTATTTAAAAGAAAATGTTTGCTGATTTTATATTTTTTCGAAATGCTAGGTTATGCTGCTGAATTGTCTTTATCTAATATATACGTATGCTGAATTAAATTTATTCTATAGAAAAAAATTTTCTGAAGTAGTTTATTTAAAAAAAAAATTAGCTGAATTTATATTTTTTTCAATAGAACGCCTTCCGGTTTGAGTTTATATGTGAAAAAATATCAATTCGTTCTACCAAATAGTTATTTCATAATTTAAAATTTTGTCTGAATTGATGTTTTTCAATAAAAAAATACTTGCTGAATTATCATTTTCGATATATCAGGTTGTTTTACTTATGAAAACCTTTGGCTGAATTGCTTTTTTAAAATAAAATTATTGCTGAATTTATATTTTTTGGAAATTTTCAGATAAAATTACTTTTCACATAAAAACTTTATCTGAATAGAATTTTTTATGGATTCTTTTTCTCCGAAATATACATTTGTTACATTAACATATTTTAAATCTTGCTGAATTGAATTATAGTAAAGTAAAAAGCTAGCTGAATTGATTTTTTTAGAAAACATTTCCAAATTTGTATTTTTAGAAAAAAATAACTTTGCTGAATTGCTTTGAATTAATTTTTTCATACAATAAAATGTAAAAATTGAATTTTTGAAAGACAGAAATGTTGCTGAATTTAAATTTTATTACAAAATGTAGCTGGATTATTTTGAACTACAGAACGTGGTAGCTGAATAAGTAGAAAAACATGTAAACTAAAATAACTTTTCCACAAAAAAATAAAATAAATAAACGGTGAATTTCCTTTATGAAAATATTATTTTGCTGAATTTAACTTTGCAATTGATTTTTTTTCATTAGAAAAATTATATTATTATAAAATTATATAATTATATTATATAATGCAAAATCTGAATTGAATTTTTCTAACGAAAAAAATGTTGCTGAATCAAAATGTTTGTAGAAAAATTCAGCTGAATTATTTTGAACTGCAGAAAGTGTTGGCTGAATAAGTAGAAAAACATGTAAAATAAAATTATGTTAAAAATTAAATTTGCTGAATTGAATTACAGTACAGGAAACGTTAGCTGAATTGATTTTTTTCATTAGAAAAAAATATCTAAAGTTGTATTATTATAACACTAAATTTTCTGAATTGATTTATATTGACTTTTTCAATCAAAATATTTTTTTTAGAAAAAGCTAACCGAATGATTTTTAGTAGATAATGGAAAAGAAATAGTTGGCATTGAAATTTTTCAAAGTAAATGTTTGCTAAACTGAAATTCTTCAAAGAAAAAGTTAGCTGAATTATTATTATTGATATTGTATTGCTTAACGAATCCATAAAAAGTGGCTGAATTACATTTCTCTGCAGAATAACTGTTCGGAATTATTTAAAAAGGGATTTTTTTTATAAAAATTTTAGCTGAATTTCTCTTTACCCACAGTTTTCGAAATTCCAATCAAAATTATCAAGTAAACTTCAACTGTGAATTGTAGTTCCAAATCCTTAAAGAAAATAACTGAAAAAATCAGACCATCGTATTCAAATATTTCCAAAGATAAGACCTCTATACATCACGATTTATTTATTCTTTCCTCCATATAGCTAAGAAGGCATGTCATTCACCTACCAACAAAATGTTCGTTGCGGTTGTTTTTTTTTTTTTTTCAAACAATTGCTACCGAAAAATAATGGCCAATACAAATCAATAGATAAGCTACCACTTTTGCTATATCTTTCTGAACAACTTGATAATTTATTAGTACCCCCCTATATAATTTGCAATAATAATAGAAAAAAAAATCAAAACTTTTTTGTGACGATTGCAAAGCCGATAAGATTTGACTATTTTTTTCGGGCTCGAAGGCATGCCAGAGAAAATAATTAGATCGATCTCCTCTATAAAAGCCAATGTTATGGCCAAAAAGAAAACAGTTCTCGAGTAGCATTTCATTGGAAAAGTTACTATTAGAAAATAATTTAAATTTTAATCATGCGTTTCTTATTGGTTTTGGCTTTTGCCACGGTTGCCTTGGCCGGCACCGTATTGCCCCAACAGGGTCTACGCCCCTTGGCCGAGATGGCTGATAGTGATGGTGAAATTGATTTCTTGGCTGAGAATCAAGATGGTACCGTTGAAAGTAAGTTTTGAGGAAATTTTTGTTTGTGGAGATTTTTATATTAATGTTTTCCGAATTTTAGTCGCTCCCAGCTTCATTGTCTCCTGGCAAGTACGTCGCATGATCCGTAAAATCCAAAAGCAAATGCCCTGTGGCTGGCCCCAATACGGTATTCCCCCACTAGCTCCCTTGAAGGTTCGCGAAGCTGAAATTGAATTGAAAAAGGGTATCTTTGAGTAAGTATCACAAAAAAAAAAACAATCGGCATGAAAAGCTTAGAGGATAAAGAGAGAGAATATTTCAATAACCCACAAAGTTTTGAGGAGAATTTTGAATGCTTTTTGAGTGTGAAAAAATATCATAAGAAAAGAGAAATATTTTGAGTATAAGCAGAGCTTTGAAGTGAAAATTTTTTGAAAAGTTTTTTTTTCAATTAAAAAGCTTTCTGAACTTTCAAGTGACAAAATTGAGTAAACACAATTAAAAAATTACAACTTTTTACAAATAGTATACATTCAAAGATTTTAATAATATTTTTAGTTTCCAATGATTCAATACAGAATTGTTTTCAATGTCTCAGAACTTTTATCTAACCAAGCTTTCATGTGAAATTCAATATTGAATATTTAAAAGCTTTTTTGAACCGATCTAAATCTTCTTTTTGAGTAATTTTTGTTCCATCCGTTCACAAAGCTTTAATGCGATGTTTTCCCATGCTCTAGGCATTTTTGGTTAACTAAGCTTTTAATTAAAAATTCATTTTGATTTTTAATTATGAATTTTAAAGCTTTTTAGACCAAAATTAACAAATATGAGAGATTTTTAATTCAAAGCTTTATTAAGCTTTTTACACACTTTTTACGAATAACTTCCTCTTAGGATGATTCTTTAATCTTTGATAACCAAGCTTTCAAGGGATATTAAACTTTACATGTGTTCAAATTAGAGTTTTTTAAGCTAAGAGCTTTTATAAAGCTTTTTTTAATTTCCTCTCCCAATCTGTTGTCAAAGCTCTTTTATGAAACAGTTTCCAAAATTTTATGTTAAATTTTTATAAAATAAAAAAGCTTCCATTATCTTTACGCTTAACAAGATTTCAAGCTTTAAAGTTTTTGTATCATCATACAAAAATTTAATCAATAAGAGCTTTATTAAGGAAATGCTTTTCTAAATATTGTTTATTAACACAATCCTTTTAAAAAGTTTTTAAAATATGTTTCCAACGACTTAATTCGGATTTTCCCAAGATTTCCGCACTGTGTTGCTAATAAGCTTTTTGGATAAATTATTTAATTTTAAAAGCTTAATTTGGCAATATTTTTTAAAAGTATGACTCAGATCATGAATAGCTCCTTTTAAGATTTTTTAAGATTTCTCTTAACTCCAATAGAAAAGCTTTCATTATACTAACTTTCGTAATTACTCTTACCTCCAACAGCTTTTTCAAACTATTTCCCCCCATCAACACCTGAACTAACTTCACTGCTTTTTATTTTTAACCCTTTAGAACTATCGATAAGGTCTTCAAATTCCGCATTGACGGTTTGGATAAATTCGTTATTCAACAATTCAAATTGAACGTCATCAAGTCCAAGATCACCTTCGATTTCTTGTTCAAGGATATTGTTACTTCCGCCTCGAAATATGATACCAACAGCATTTTGGATGCTATGCGTCAATTGGGTCTTTCCGTTCAATACGAAGGTGAAGGTACTTTGGACTTTGGTTTGAAGAATTTGCGTATTGCAGGTACCATCAAATACAAAATTCCAATCTTGTGGGGCTCCATCAAGATCACCTCCATGAAGACTCAAGTTTCTTTGGGCGCTTGCACTTCGGAAATTACCGGTTTCATGGGTAATGGCGCTGTCAACCGTATGATCAATCGTCAAATTGAAAATGTCGTCGAAATGGGCATCAATAACAACCAAGAAGCCATCTCCGATATGATCGAAGAAACCCTTGTCCCCAAGGTCAACAAGATGTTGAAGGGTAACGATTTCTGGACCATCATCGATATGATCTTCTCGAGCACCGAAGGCGAACAAGAAGATGATCCTATTGTTGTTAACTGTGTTCCTCCTCAAGATCCCTGGGCTTAAGCGTTACGAAAATAATTTGGAATATTGAAGTGGATTTTTGTGGTATTTTTCTTTTCAATATTTGGAAGAGAGAAAAATTTACTATGAAATGAAATATAAAGTCCAGTATTAGTGAAAGAAAAAAGTTGTTAATGTGTTTTTATTTTATTAGTTCCTGTGATATTTATTTTCGATACAACACAGGTTATAATTGATATGTTATCGAACCTACAGGCTTCTATTCTGAAGTCTTTACCTTAGCCACTAAGCTCAGAATTACATCAGATATTTTGCAGAACATTCGGAAATAATCGGATAAAAATATGCCGAGTAAAACAAACATTTCGCAAACCTGTTATAATTCGGATACATTAAGAAGACTGCGTAAGAAATTTTCACAAAGAGATAGAGAGAGAGAGAGAGAGGGAGGAAGAGGGGACCCTATATAAAATATTATGATCAACATTTGGTGTAGAATATTTGGAGGTCAAAAATATCGTGTTGTGGACTCTATATTGAAGATTACGTTTTAGAAAAATATTCCTCATTCGATGCGACTAAAGATATGTGATCTCAAAAGTCAACAGCAATAAACAAATTATAAAGTTTTTTCTTCATAGTTTATCAGCAAAAAATCCATCGTAACATATTTCGTAAACTTGGCGAATTTGACCTTCTGTCTTGCTCGCCAATGGCATAAGAAACATTTCCCCCCAAGATAATGAGCTCGATTTTGGGTCACAGTGTAATCAACAATGTCATGTTTATACTGATTGGGTGCTTGAAATATATCATTTCATGCATGAATTTCATCCAGCATCATCATCGTCGATATTGATGGAGCTCATTTCCACCTCGGTGGCTCTGTCAACAATCAAAATTGTCGCATCTGGGTCTCTCCATCCTCGTCGTGGTATTGTTCTGTGTATTATATCGAACGGCGGGGTCATTTGACCCCATTAATATCATGGAAATTATATGGGACTGGCAATAATGGAGTATCGGGAGATGATTATTGATTTTTTTGTGGTCTGAATTGGTTGGTATTAATCTGGACAACGGTTACTTTCAACAAGATGCCGTTACATGCTACCAAGCAACGAAAGCGTGACTATTTTAATGAACCTTATATCTCGAAGAGGTGATCACGATTGACCACAGAACACAGATCCTTGCAGATTACAATTACTTCAATGCTTTATTGGCACAACTTTCTCCTATGTATATTTCGTTCCATCTCTGCACAGAGATTTCTTGACGAACACGGAACCCTGCAGATTACGATTACTACAATGCTTTATTGTCACAACTTTATTGCCCAGACTTACGCTTCGGATGGTTTCAATTCGAGATCTGATTTACAACTAACTCACTGCCATGCTCTTCTAAGTATACTTCGTTCCATCTCTGCACAGAGATTTCTCGACGAACACGGATCCTTGCAGATTACAATTACTACAATTCTTTATTGTCACAACTTTATTGCCCAGACTTACGCTTCGGATGGTTTCAATTCGCGATCTGATTGTCATGCTCTCCCATTTATACTTTGTTTCCTCTCGGCACAGAGATTTCTCAACGAACGCGGTCCTTTGCAGATTATGATTACCATAATGCTTTATTGGCAAAACTTTATTGCACAGATTTACGTTTCGGATGGTTTCAATTCGCGATCTGATTTACATCTCGCTACAGATGTTTCTCGACGATCTAGTAACATATCGATTACTAAGAATTTACCAGTGCAACGTGATCACTGAGCGATCAAGAACATGACCATGTTTTAACATAGCCCAAACATTTAAGGTATTTTCAAAGTACAAGGCGCATTTTCTAACAGAAGTGGGTGTAATTTGGCATTCCGTCCTCTTTATTGGTTCTAGCTAAATTTATCCAATTGACTAGCTATATGCAAGCAGGATAGATCTGCCCCTGGTAGACAATTTGCATTATTTAGCTTGTTTTGTTATTGTTTTTCTAATTTGAATGCTTACCTCATGGTGAAGGGTATACAAAGTTTGCACCGATCGAAGTTGTCGACGTTTTGACTTTTTTTGGTATCGCTCTCCGCCTCTACCCTCACTTGGTGGTTATTAGTTTTGCAACCGTTTATTTGACTACTACTTCTCTTGCTAACAGCCACCGTCTCTCCACTCACTCGATTGTGGTTAGTTTTGCATTCCATTGCTTCTTTTATTTCAGACACTGCTATCGACCACTTCGCAAAAGCATTTTCCAAATTATTTCGATTGAAAGTTTGTATTGAAAGTTTGCACCGATCGAACTTGTCGACGTTTTGACTTGTTTTGAAGTCTTCTTTTGGTATCGCACTCCGCCTCTCCCCTCACTTGGTGGTTATTAGTTTTGCAACCGTTGACTACTGTTTCTCTTGCTAACAACCACCGTCTCTGCACTCACACGGTTGTGGTTAGTTTTGCATTCCATTGTTTCTTTTATTTCAGACACTATTACCGACCACTTATTTTTTGTTGTATAATTCGCATAAGTATTTTCCAATTTATTTCGATATAAATACCAAATACAATAGATGATTCGAGCAAACAGTCCAACCGATTGTTTTGTATATTTGTATATGATTGTTCTAATGACGAATGGCATTCAAAAAGTGCAGAAATCCGGACAGCACTTTATTTGTTTCTGTGTAGTGATTATAGCTTCAATTAATTTAAGTGTTTTAAAAGACATTATCTTGTTTATCTTTATATAAAATATTCTCTTGAATTCTTCCACCGATCTTCAGTATACACAGCTGTCATGCCATGCAGACTTGTTGAGATAATGCATAATCTTTCTCCAGAATATAGAAAACAGTCTTAATAAAGCAATTCTGAAATGCATCGGTGAATTATATTCGATCAATACTTTTCTGGTGAGGGGGGGGGGGGGGGGAATATGATTTCCAAATCATATTACATTTCTTGGTAAATATACACTTTTAATAAAATATCCTAATATCTCCGTAGTTTTTTTCTCGACATAAAATCCAATCGGATGATTATAACCACAATTCTGTCATAAAATTTCTAGTAAAGAGAGAGCACTCACAAAGATTTACCCATTCCAGAAATTTTAAAGAATCTATAGAGGTTTACTCTTTCTACAATTATCAGGCCAATGGCAATGTGTCACAATGTGCAGAATATAGAAAAAATACGAGTTTCGGAAAGGCATCGATCAATACTATTCGACTAATTTTTTGAAGTAATTAGAAATGGATCGACAGACATTTTTAATTGCTGATGAGGACTATGGTTTCCAAATTAAATGTGTTGGTAAAAATACCCTCGTACAGAAATATCCAAAATTCTTCTTCAAAATTCTTTTTTCTTTTCGACTACATTCCCGTCGGATGATAATAAATAAAAAATTTTGTAATACCTGTTATAAAAATTATAGTGGACGGAGAATATCCACTAAGGTATTTACTTCCCACTTGAAAAAATGTATGCCAATAACTCCGAATATTTGTTCTTCTCGATTATTATAATAAATAAAATTTTTGTTGCTCAAAATACTTTGAACAGAATTTTGTGTTACAGAAGATTTGATCATTATAAGATATGAGTCTAAAATCCCACATGCAACGCTGTTAAGACTTTTGTTGTTGGTGTTGAGATTTTATGGCGCACACGATGTAAAAATTCTCCACAGATCAAATTCTAAGCAAGAGTAGTTTAAGTTGTACATAAGGATAAATATTTTACTATAAAATCAGTGCCTTACAACCACTCAACAAAAACGGTCGGGAGCACCGTGTCTGATTTATTTCTTATACAGATGAGCTTCGGCTGTCTGTATATTTCTTTAACATTTGTGGTCCTTCAAATAACTGAATTTTCCCCCACGCGTAATAAGAGACTCAGTAGAATCAGCAAAGGAATCATTTTCAGCGATTGGCTTAGAATACAAAAAAATACAATAGCAATTTTGAGAAAGGAGCTCAAGAATTTTTAGAGATTTTCTATTCCACAAGGTGAAGAGTTTTTTATTATTTATCAAAGTAAGATGGAGAAAGATTTAGATTTTTTACATAGTCTTTGGAAAAAAACTTGATGAGAAGGAGGGAGAGGAAGTACTGGCGATTTAATCGAGACGCCCAGCAGTTAAAGGCCATATGTTCCTATTAAACGAAAAAATACCCTTCTGAAACAACTTGCATCTGAGATTAAGTATGAATAAATAAATTCGGAACTGAAGCGAATTACTAAAAGTGTGGAAGCGTTATAAAATAAAGTGGATGACATCAAGCGAGATTATCTGGACTTCTATACTCCGATCTTCGCCAACAACCCCAAAATGTATGATTTTGCATTGGAGGAAATCTACAATGAAGCCGTCTATGTAATTAGCCAATGTGACGACGCGAGACATGTTTTGTCTGGCATGTCTAAAACACAGCGCTAATTGAAATCGAGTATTAAAGACGAGTATAAAAGAACTGAAACAACTTGCATCTGAGATTAAGGATGAAGAAATAAATTCGGAACTGAAGCGGATTACTCAAAGGTATGAAACCATTACAAAATAAAGTGGAGGGTATCAAGCGAGGTTATCTGGACTTCTATTTTCCGAAATTCGCCAAGAACCCCAAAATGTATAATTTTGCATCGGAGGAAATCTACAATGAAGCTAACTATATAATTTGCCGATGTGACGACTCGAAACATGATTTGCCTGGCATGTCTAAAAACACAGTGCTAATTGAAATTGAGTCTTTGAAGTAGTTGTATATAGAGCTCACTCTATTGCTTCCAAAAGATGCAGGTGTGGAATTCTCTGAAGATATATTATTAAAATTAAATATAATGTTCCAAATATATTTTGATATAAAGAAGGAGCTGAAGAAAGTAGTGAAAACCTTCTAATACCTGTCACAAAATTTCTAGTAGAGGAAGAGTACCAACAATTTGTTTATCCAAACGTTTACATTTTCCAAAAATTCGAAGAAAACTTCAAGCAATCAACCCATTAGAAGAAAAATTTGTGTCCCAAAAATTCCC